TCAGGCGACAGAGATCCATCGGGGTTCTGTATCATCCTTCACACACGCCTAATACCCTTAAAGTGCCACTCAGTCTTCCCTTGTGGTTTTTCTACATTCTCCTTCTTTGGTTTTAGTAATCACTTCTTGTTCCTCATTTGTTCTTAAAAACGTTAAGAGACACGTAGGCCAACCTGAAGCTGCTACCTTGACGTGGTGGTCGGGCTTGAGTGCTGAAATGACTTCGCGGGCTACACTGGTTGTAACGTCGTTCTACTAGGCTCAACCATGGAAGGAAGGCCAAAGGGGAGCAGTCAAACCTAGATCGGCGAGACCTCGTACTACGAGCACGAGTAATCGTGCTACGATGGGGTCTGAAGTTGAAGTCGTGCTGTCCTGTGCGACAGGAGTGTGAAGGCAGTAAGGTGTCTCCTCTAGGCGACCAGTATGTCCATATCAATGGAAGCACTGATGCTGAAGAACGAGTTAAAAAGGGTTGGCCCCAAAAACCGCACATTCCGATCACCCAACGGTTGATCGTGGCCGCCAGCGCCTTATCCAATATGGTCGAAATACTTCAAAAACCAGAGTCCCGTGTTGCTCAAAAGGCACCTGCAGTGTCCACTCGCATCAAGAATGAGACAATATTGCCTCATTACCGGCGTCCTCGGGTTAGGCCAACCCCTGAAAGCCGAGCATTTCAGACGATTGAGTCATGGGCTCCGGACAGGGTCCCCAAAGAAAACCCTACTGTCCACTGCTTCGTGGATCAGATTTCTCAGTCAGAGGCTAGGGGTAAGGTCCACGAACAACAACCTGCATTGTACCACAAACCCTAATCAGACTTTTGAGTCAGAGACTAGGGGCAGGGTCCTCAAACAAAATCCCCCCACTGCCTTTTCAATCAAAGTCTCAAGGTGGGGTAACTCAACCGCAAAATCTTCCTTGGCCTGGGCAACCGGGAAGTATCATTTGCCCGCACAGTTCGGTGTCCACCGGTGTCCCTCCCCAAACCTTTCCCATCACAAGAGCAAACGCAGTTGGGTCATTTGATTGTCAGTTATTTGACCAATTTGACCTTATGCTCCCGCTGCTTACTAACAATAAACAAAGTATCACCTTTCTAAATCCACGAAATCCTTTCAAACTGGCTCTGGCAGTTCTCGATGAAACCTCATACTCCCTTAAGACTGATGTATGCTGTGACTCCGAAACACGCATACAAGACCCAAGCGTGGTTATGCGTCTCAGAATACTAAGAATGAACTCAGCTCCTTCACAGTTCTCCATCCGTGTGTCCGGTGACCCGGAGGCGATGATTCGTGGAATATGTGGCGTGGGAGTTGCACCCAGTCTCGCAGCTGAGCGCGCTTTGCTGGATTTGACCCCAGCGAACAGTCCTTTTTGCGCCGATCGGTTATCCGGTTCAATCAAGCCAAATGCCTCTCGGTATTAAAAGCGGTGTCTGTTTGTAGTGTCCGCTTATGCCCCAACGGACTGCTGAGAAGGATACTTTCTATCGAACCTGCGTCACCTGTGGCGTAGGTGTGACATCAGCTTCTCCGTCAATGGTCGAATCTACAATGCTGCGGTGCGTTCCATATTACTATGCGGATCAGAAACCTGGCCGCTGCGCCCCGAGGTCGTCAAAAGACTTTCAGTGTTTGACCATCGATGTTCTCGGAGCATTGCCCGAATTCGGTGGGCACACCGGATCATCACGGCTGAAGTGTGTCGAATGGTGTTCGGGAGAAATGTCTCGCCCTCGACAGATGAACTGATCACACTGCATAGGTTCCGCTCGCTTGGCCGCGTGCTTCGTATGCCAGCCGATTTCGAAGGGCTGTTTACGCGCAACCACGTAAAGGGCGGAAGAGAGCCAGAGGCGGTCAAACATTGACGGCAGTGGAGTTTAAAAGCCGTCACCAGCAAACTGAGCTGCGCTGGTCACTGCCGTCTTCCTGAATAGGGACCCCGAGACGGGCCACACAATGGTTGGAGACATTGTCAGACATGGCTCAGTCGCGCCATCAATGACGCTCATGCATTCAAGTTATTGCCTTTGATGCATAGCTCCTTCCCCAATTCCCCAACTAAACAGTCCGCTGACAGTAATATATTTACGCACCAATTTATCATGCCCCCCCTCCAATGCGCAGATATCTACCCCTTCTCCGCAAAGCATCAGTGAACAAAACTGTGGCAGCTACAATCACTGTACGACAAGTATGCGGTTCTTACTGCTGACAGTGATGATGATGATTACGTGGGCCAAGTTTCCTCTGATTCTGCTGTTTTTGCAGTCAACTTTGAGCTTTTCTTGGGGGTTTTCAACTTGCTTCTTGCTATTCGGTACATTTCCCAGAACTTCTGTACTCCTAAAATTGGGGTCAGATTTAATGGTTCACATTTGTTATCCATCCTGATGCCTCACATTCAGCCCGAGGTTTTGTTGATCAGCGGTCCCGCTCATACCCTAGCTAATCAGTGTTCATTGTTCTGTGGATACAGTTGTGGCATCTTGTGGATTCGCTCCTTGGTTAGAACGCGAATTTACTGACCGGAAGGTTTGGTTTGAACCTGACCTCTGCTCGACTCTGCCCATCTGGGCTTTGGCAATCTGGTAGTATCCCAACCCTTGTGCTTCCTTCGGTGGCATGACAGCTAGGCACCGAAAGGATGTTACAGCTGGACGATTTTTTGCACAAAGTATGTGCGTCTGACATCTTGAAGAACAATTGCTTCACACAGTTCATATATCCTATCGATGAGATTCCACGAAACCTGTTCATGATATGCCCAGTAAAATCCGAAGCAGCCGCACTCTGCAACAAGTGCTGCATTTCTCAAGCATATCTACAAGTCCTACATCTCATGCGCGTTTCGTCACGAAGTACGTTACTCACAAGCCTTGTTTCACTTCAAGACTACTGCGTGATTGAAAGTATGTGAACTACGCTGTTTAATTACATACACGTAGCCGTTTGCTGTTGAACAGCCGCTATCTGCCAGATTCGGGGAATCCGAGCGCATTTCACGAGTCTTCGATCTGATTAGACCGCAGTGTGCAGATAGATAGTCCCAACCGTGCACTGACGATATCTCCTCGCATGACGACGAGACGTTTGTCAGCGTATTGCCAATATCGGCGAACGGACCAACTGGTCCACAGCTGAAGTGTACTTTCTATCTGGTCAGCTCCGGCACCCTTATTTAGTAGTGCTGAGCTAAGGTTTAAAATAAATCGTTCAGCTGTAAAACCCTTTTGCGCCTAGCTGCCATACAGATTTAATGGTTCACATTTGTTATCCATCCTGATGCCTCACATTCAGCCCGAGGTTTTGTTGATCAGCGGTCCCGCTCATACCCTAGCTAATCAGTGTTCATTGTTCTGTGGATACAGTTGTGGCATCTTGTGGATTCGCTCCTTGGTTAGAACGCGAATTTACTGACCGGAAGGTTTGGTTTGAACCTGACCTCTGCTCGACTCTGCCCATCTGGGCTTTGGCAATCTGGTAGTATCCCAACCCTTGTGCTTCCTTCGGTGGCATGACAGCTAGGCACCGAAAGGATGTTACAGCTGGACGATTTTTTGCACAAAGTATGTGCGTCTGACATCTTGAAGAACAATTGCTTCACACAGTTCATATATCCTATCGATGAGATTCCACGAAACCTGTTCATGATATGCCCAGTAAAATCCGAAGCAGCCGCACTCTGCAACAAGTGCTGCATTTCTCAAGCATATCTACAAGTCCTACATCTCATGCGCGTTTCGTCACGAAGTACGTTACTCACAAGCCTTGTTTCACTTCAAGACTACTGCGTGATTGAAAGTATGTGAACTACGCTGTTTAATTACATACACGTAGCCGTTTGCTGTTGAACAGCCGCTATCTGCCAGATTCGGGGAATCCGAGCGCATTTCACGAGTCTTCGATCTGATTAGACCGCAGTGTGCAGATAGATAGTCCCAACCGTGCACTGACGATATCTCCTCGCATGACGACGAGACGTTTGTCAGCGTATTGCCAATATCGGCGAACGGACCAACTGGTCCACAGCTGAAGTGTACTTTCTATCTGGTCAGCTCCGGCACCCTTATTTAGTAGTGCTGAGCTAAGGTTTAAAATAAATCGTTCAGCTGTAAAACCCTTTTGCGCCTAGCTGCCATACAACCCGGAGGAAGCACGAGGGCTGAGATACTGCCGGGTTGCCCAAGCACAGACAGGGGAAGTCGAGAGGCAGAGGTCGGGTTCGAACAACGGACCTTCTGGTCAGTAGATTGGCGCTCTAACCACTTGAGCCATCTCGCTGAATTAAGGTGGCTCTTCTTCATAGCCTCCTAGTCAACAATTGTCGTCCAAATAAGTCAGAATCGCCTGCACGTCAGACTCCCATATGCGTCGTTCCAAAGACTAGACGCTATAGGCTTCCCCATTTCCACTGTTGTCGGGATGGTGCGTAGCACTCTGCCAGGCATTTTGAGTGTATTCTTACCCACAGCTGAACCCTCCTGAATTGAAGTGGTTCATCTAAACCCTAGCAAATAAATAACATAGTCGAGCTTCGTACTAATGCCCCTCTGACTTTTTTGGAGCAACAAAACTTGTCTCTCGAACGAGATCGGACTCTACTTTCATTAAAAGGTCAATTCATGTATATAACGACAATGTATTTGTTTGTTTTACTACTCCGGCTTATTTAAAATCCGAAAGTCTGCAGCCCAATGATTTATGGGGTCTTCACGATGGTGCCATTCCGCATACCGTATGCTCAAGTCGTAAAATAAGAATGCCACCATCTGGTTTAAGTTGAGTCACATCCGTATCGTCTAGAGATTAATTTGATTTGGTATGTGCCAATACTGAGATTGTCTGATGCTAGCAGTCAGCATAAACCTTATCCAGACTTTTCGTTCAGTGCACTTTCCCTGAGTGCATGGTGATGTTCTTGCATTCTTTGATCGCGTTTTTTAGCTACTTCCTGTGGAAAGATGTCTTCAACACGTTCTTTGTAGAATGCAAAACAAAATTTCAGCGGTTGCTCAATTTTCGTGGTCTTCCATATCTTTAGTTGATACAGCTCGGGGCGAAAACAACATTGTTGCCCCCGACAGATCGACGGTCCCATGCTCAGAACCAGCCGCCAGCACCTCTTCCTATCCGACGACAACAAACGGTCTACCGCCGACGGTCTACGGTTGGTTCTATGAGGGTTATGCGGGTTGGTGGGAGTACGACGAGCGGACGTCGGCTGAACTTGAGGACGCATTCTCTAAGGGCCATGCCAAGTGTGAAATCGTTGCAGCAGGCCACATATACGTTGTCGATTTTTGTACGATGTCTCAAGTAAGCAGAATATTGCTGTAAGCTTGTACAAACGCTTTTTTACCATGCACCCACAGTAATTTTCTCGGAAGCATGTTCTGCCGTATGGCACCACTTCACGTGCCCCAGTCGCCCATAAAGGCGTAACAGATGGTATACGACCACTGGGAATACGATATAGAAAAATGGGACCGGACGAAGACCAGCGTAAATGCAACGACAGTCAAGTTTTATGAACTGCCTGGTTAAAATTACAACTTTAATTAACGTTGGGAGACTCGGTTGACGTACTTTCGTGGGCGCTTTAAAAGTGAATGCTTTATCTGATGATTAATTAGGGTGCGTTGCGATCATCAGCACCATTCTTACTTTCTGTCTGGTCCACCATACGTAGGACGTGTTGAGGTATATATTCTTGTGCACACGCTTTATGCTTGCGGGTTTCTGCGTCACCAGTGATGAATAAATGCATACAACTTAAGGTTGATAGTATTTCTGGAGTTTTGATAGTTGTCAACAGCATGTCCCGTGTATGCAACAACAGTCCTAATTGTGCAATACGATGAATTCGCTTTTGTTCGCTATTCAGAGCTTTTGGGATGCGCTTTGTTTTGGTGTCCATTTTGGTGGGAAAAAAGTCTATTATTCGATTTCTGCTGTTGATTGACCATCCTGAGCACGTCTCACTCCATCCTAATAGTGCATCACTTCCCATCCAGGTTTTAAGTAGGCTTATTTCATAAGGCTAAGAACCGTTTAATCTTACTTCCAAGGCATTTTATGGAGAAACGTGATCGTTTCTGATTTACCTATAAGAGGAAGGAATTAGAATGAACTATTCTGTCATGCTCTAGATGCCCAATCTGGAGGAATTGGCATGACCATCTGCTTTCAATATTTCGCACTTTGGACTGTTCGCGCACACACTTGAAGTTCCTATTAGTGTTATTGTTTCCTGACCGGCTTTGGCAACGGCCAGTCACGTACCGGGGCAGGATCAAGCTTTCGGACTACTTTTCACCAGCCTCATCGCTCCCGGTCGGAGGGAGAGTGGTTCGCGCCCACTAAATAGATGTGACCAGGCGTAGCATACGACTCGCTAAGTAGGCTTATTTCATAAGGCTAAGAACCGTTTAATCTTACTTCCAAGGCATTTTATGGAGAAACGTGATCGTTTCTGATTTACCTATAAGAGGAAGGAATTAGAATGAACTATTCTGTCATGCTCTAGATGCCCAATCTGGAGGAATTGGCATGACCATCTGCTTTCAATATTTCGCACTTTGGACTGTTCGCGCACACACTTGAAGTTCCTATTAGTGTTATTGTTTCCTGACCGGCTTTGGCAACGGCCAGTCACGTGCCGGGGCAGGATCAAGCTTTCGGACTACTTTTCACCAGCCTCATCGCTCCCGGTCGGAGGGAGAGTGGTTCGCGCCCACTAAATAGATGTGACCAGGCGTAACATACGACTCGCACTGTCGCTGAAAACTCTTCTAAAGCCCATGATCTCATTCCCTCTTCTTGGGATTCAGATGGGTGATATCCGTGAGTTCCCGAGTTGAGCGGAGTTCGTGGCATACTCTGATTTGCACACTAATTGGGTTTTGACGTGAGGCTGAATCTCTCATTTATGATGGTCTTTGTAAACCAGAGATTCATATTAGGTAGACTGACCAAACAAGCTAGTTATCACGGCACGCCAGCCAGCACACTTACCAGGATGATAGTCGTAGCTGGTTAATGACAGGGCCGTGAACGGCCAGATGCCTGAAACGAAATGAACTGATAACCTAGTGACAGTTGTCATTGGCTTTTCTGATGGGATGGTTGCGTATAATCGGGCGAAATGGCCCAAGTGGTTGAAGTGCGAATTTGCCAACCGGAAGGTTCTGGTTCGAACCCCGACCTCTGTCTTTCGACTTCCCCTGTCTAGGCTTGGGCAACCTGGCAGTATCCCAGCCCTCATGCAACCTTCGGGTGACATGGCAGCTAGGCACCAAAAGGTGCTGCTACAGCTGAACGATTATTATTATTATTATTATTATTATTTCGGAATGAAATAACCTCTTTTCTCGTGCTTAAGCTGTATAACCAATGGAAAAGCTGCACTGATTGTCCTTTCCTCCGGTTTTCATGCCCCATTGTGTACTCAATCCATTATTTGCGTATATCAGCAACGGGTCTTTTCTAATGTAATTTAGGGGCGAAAGGATCACACTGGACGAAAACGACGCATCAAACGTGATTTGATCACGTGTGAAAAGAAAGGTATTGCAGGAATCAAGCTCACTTCAATTCAACCTGGCAAAACCAGTGTAACCACAACCGTCACCAGTGCATCCACAGGTACAAGTGTCAGTGTTACAGCCTCTCCAAAGACAAGCGCGACTCGTGTGACTGCTCAGTCTTCACAGCCAGTTACCTTGACCGACCACACATACGCCCGTCCCACCTCCTCGGTACCTATACACACACATGACACTCGTTACCGTGCGATTTCATGCAGTTCTAGTCCGAATCCTCAACTTGTTCCAAATGTTCAGATGCTCCCGTCTCTTCCCACTGTATGCCCGCCACCAAATGTATCGAGAACATCCTCCCGCCGACAATCTCGCCCTTCAGTTCGTTTGCCTGCAGTCACACCGACCAGTGGTCCCGTTGATTCTAGCACTACTCTCCTACCAACAACATTAATTGACGGTTCTGTCGTCGGAGTCCAGCCAGTCGTTCATGCTTCCATTTCTCCCAGGCATCACCGCTCGACACGCTCATTGTCGCATCACTGATCCTGCGTTTTATACCTTGCTTTTAAAGCAGTTGGTAATCCGCATGCTGTACGTTCCTGTGATCTTTCATGTTTGTCCGTTAACCTTGTGTTCGAATTTAATTTGGCTAACCAAACTGCTTACAGGCTAGCGTCTTATCTCGACTGCTTAGTTTTCTTGAGTTTCTTTATCATTCGCTGCGTTCATGACAGTCTTTATGTCGCTGCACATGAGTTGTACAGAGAAACTCAGTTTCACCGATCTACTTGCTCTCTATATTCATCTGCTACCTTTTTTTACGACACTTGGAGTAAATATAGCATGAAAATGCAACTACGCGCTGTTTTACGGTGTGAAATTACGAAAATCTAAAGTTATTGTTGGAGCAAACTAAACTAATTGCTACTCTTAAGGCAAGAGGTAATCTGGGAGTCGAGTTGACAGATGCCTCCACCGAAGGGTAGTGGTATTCAACGTAAATGTCATTATTAATTTGCAGTGGTATCCCGTCACACAGAGTACGCTCGAAATTTGTATACAGATGTACCTCCTCATAAGAGACACCGTTTTATACTACCCGGACTGTCTCTTCTTTCGAGCTCTTGCTTCCTTGGCAGTACAGCCCAAAATAGTACCATAAGAACTCTATTTTCTAGATACAATGAGTGAGGTCCAACAGTAGTCGGTGTCTTTGTCTTATATCTTCTGCCAAAAGTATTGAAATATGCAAGGATAAATGTGTCCCGCAAGTTGAAGTCTGCTTACTGAACGGTAATGACTTGTCTACGTACATTTGCATATCCCCCTACTTTTCAAACTCCGAAATACGTCCCGTTGGTTTCTGGTAGTGATTGTTTGTTGGATAAAGTTCGAATGTGGACTTGACTCTTATATATTATCTACCGATTCCTTGATGGGGTCTGGATACTCGTCAATGGTCCGCTACTCTTTTGGTGTACTTTACTAAACTTCATCCAGGTCATACGTCGACAATGCTGTAACTAGCAATTTCTTCGTTCCTTTTGTGATCAATACTATAAAAATGTGTTTTAACGCTAAAACATCTTGAAGAGGGCTTGCTAATTCTCTCAGCAAACCTTCCATAAGTTGAGTGAAGCGATCCGGTTCCACCTGGAACCAGAATATAGGAGAATGGCAGAATGAGTTGATGAATCAAAGTTTTGATGTCTTTACATTGCCATAGTTTATGAGATCAAATGGAAGTCCCAGAAGATATTTTCAAGGCCCCATTTAAGAGCTTCCCTTATATTGGCGCTCACTAGTTGAATAAGCCAATTTAAACAAACCACTGATGTATGAGAAGTTTTTTGGCTCCGTGAAGAGATATATTCTGGCACGAACCGTCTCTGCGTTTGTGCTTCGATTCCATCGTCCCGTGAAAGTTTCTGTTTAGAAGTGTGAGCTGTACCTAACAATCTCATCCGCACTCCTTCCTACCTCACCAAGACCCACAATCTTACTCTTTTCTGTGAGATAGAAACAAATCTGTGACTGGCATAAGCGAAATCAACCTGCTGCCGCAAACCAGGCTGAACTAACGTGAATGGAGTCCAACCTAGAAACCACTGTCACGTGTCATTCGTTAGCTTCCCTTGGATGTAAAGAACTCGATTCATTTCGTCTCTCCCACCGGCCGAACTGAAATCGTAAATGCGAGTTGCAAACCCTTCACAACAGTCGTTTTACTTATATCTATTTTTCCTGTTTGGTCATTGAGAACATTTACCAGCACGGAGGATTCGAAACCGAAGATATTTACTTGCAAAAATGCTGTCATTCAAGGTATTTCTTAATTGAATGTTTCTACAGATCGGAGACACTAGTTATTGCAAGGATGTGCACTGATAATGTCTCCTAGAGGGATTCGGAACAAAACCCACCACTAAACCTTCTGCACGCGTGGCCCTTTTTACATACAGTCAAGGATAAAATAACTCGTTCTTTGTGGCATTCATGTGACAACTCAGTACAAAATACCCATCTCTCGATTTCTGCATAGCATTCAACTATCGAAGAAGCGCAGTGTTCCTTACAAATATGGTCAACCAAACCTGACGGGTTTGCGAATCATCCGTACTTTCACTCTGGGATCTTCGCACACATCTTGCAATTTACATGACAGATTCAGTAGCCTTCATCTATAAAGTGAACAAGTTCACAATCGAGGCATCCGAGAGCGATGGCTGATAGAAGAAGCAAACCGTGGTACCCCATAGCTGCGGTTCCTGATGTGAGAATGGATGTCACGTTCTCAAGCTTCGAAACCTCTTTCCTCGTTGTAGAATATTAGGATTTGACAGGTTTATGTGTGTGATCTAAGTGTATATCTTCACCATACATGGGTGCTAAGAGTACGCTACGGCAGTCCAGGTGTTATTTTCCCCAAACGTGAGATCGTGTGGTCGGGAAGCGTACTTAGTGTCCGTGCATCGTGCCAGTTCCCGACTGGCTTGTGTTATACTGTGTTGCCAGAGTTACTGTTGTCGTCAAGAGTGACTTGACAGGGTACCATCTTGTCTCTCGTGGCAAGAACACTATTTTCAATGTGGCCATAAACAATTTGTCGGAGATGCAATGGAGTGTGGTTGCAACAAAGAGTTCGTAGCATTATAAAGCACCCCGTGACTAGTCTTTTGCAGTATCTTGACCAGCACCACATGAGTAGTCTGTGACATAGTATCCAGCCTCTTGGTTCGGCTTGCATGTGCTGCGCGGAGTGTTACCAAACTAACCACATTGTACCCAATCATCTCAGCACCCGTGCAACAGTTGTCAAATTTAGCACGTTATTTGATCATGAATGCTTGGTTTTTCATTGGGCCTCTCGAATAATAGTTCCGCTTCAGGACGTGCTCTGGAGGCATGAAATGTTAATACAGCCACCCCCAGGCAAAAGTGAAAATATGTTACTGGCTAAGGCTCACAATAACAAACACTGTTGAAGACAGGCATCATTTGGGCAGGATTTTTCATCAATTTGTCCGTAATATGAACTCAGCGTTTCTGTGGCTCATAAGATACAAACACCACTGGTTGACCAGAAGTGTAAAATCGGCTGTCTTTAGGATGAACTCGCATTTCCAATACAAAATAGTTCAGCTCCAACTTGTGTACCAGCAAAACAGCCACAGATTAGCTGGTGAGGACAAGATTACCTAGGAGTCTTCGCTTCGGTGTACCATACTTCCATAGGTTATGCAATAGAGGAGGGATTTAGGCGCGACACTGACGTATGTAGCGGTCATTTTTTTACCGTATGACTTCCACACGATCTACTGAAACATATTCGGACGGGTTGGTTAAGCCATTAGAGAAACCCATTTCGAATAGTTCGGCTTCCTCAAAATCCGTAGTGCCACTTGGTGCCACGTCTGTTTGGGCCAGTCCTTGAACTTACCGAATCGAACGATCCGTGCAAGTGACCGTTCTACGGTCCTACAGAACGAAATCGTCTCCTTCCCTTTCGTATGCTTCCGCCTGAGTACCACTCATGGAATGGTTCCAACTTCTGGGGCAGATTGTTCAGTAAACGGTTCCATTGCTCATCTAAGCATCCTTCAGATCGAGGTGGCTATCAGTACTTGACACCCACAGAACACGTTGCGCACTAGAACTCACATTCTTTGCTTCATTTTGATAGAAAAACTGAACCTAGAATCATGAGTTACGTGGCTTGGGAAACTACCTTCCAACTTTGAGGAAATTACGTTGCAAGGACATTGAGTTTTCAGAAGAAGTGGAGTGAGTAGTCTAATTAAAGTTTCACACGCAAATTGAGACAGTTTCGTACCCTACCTGAATGCGGTGTGCATTCACATGATCCTCGTGGTCGTGTATTCAGGTTTTGAACTTGTTACTCTTTACGCTAGAAAGAGTTCTCCGTACTGAAAACCGGGGCATTCTGCGTCTCTCTGTCCTAGGTCTTTTGGCTGAAGCGTGGCCCAGTTCAACGCCATTCGGTTGGAAAAGACCCGAAATCACATGAGATAATTTATTGTTATTTAAGAGGCCGCGAACCATCCATACCATCTCAATAGCAGTCTAGATCGCACTTCACCTTGCTTGAACGTTGCCTTCTCCCATTTTCGCCTCCATAAGATCTGACCGTGACCCTGCTTCACATGCACTCTAGTCAGCCAAGGGGCCTCCTTATGTTCAGATCTTTCAAACGCGGAGGACTTTGGAGCACTTGCTAGCTAGGACGGACGCTCAGATCGAATCTTCGCATGGTTTTTCATGATTCCTAAGCAACTTACAGTCATCAGCCTCTTGTAGAGTTTGTACTAACCCCTTGGTATTCTTGGAATACTCTACAGATAAATTGGTCGAAAAAATTACCGATAAATCACTTTTCAGTACAGTGCCCTCGTGGCTTGTTTCGGCATCCATGTAGACAAAATCGATCTATCCAACGATGGTTAACAGTGTACTAGTAGTGAAATACACTCATTTGCAAATAAATTTGGTTTTTAGAGGACCCAACTGAATCCCTCGTTAATGATGTTTCCAGGCTACTGAATGTGCTGCACTAGGCCGCCTCATGTTTCAGTTGATACCATATTTGAGATATCGCGGTACACATATAGACGTAATACACTACGCATTAACTGGCTGCAAATTCTTCGACAACCTTGTGAGTAGTTTCCTTTATGAAACTATACTGTGATATCTGGAATATCGTACCAACTGAAAAATGAGGTCACCTTTGTGCAGCACATTCAGTTAAAGAAGATCATAAATGAGGGATTCAGTTGAGTCTCCCGTGAGAACCAAAATGATTTGCAAATGAGTGTATTTTTGGACTATTATGTTGTTCACATTCAGAGAACTTGATGAGTATCAATAATGATCAGTCCAGTTGTGATCTTGAAGTATCGCCTGTTAAATGCGTGTCGAATGCTTCTCAAGGGCAGTTATCGTGCGGATAAATGTAGTGACCTCAATGGCTTCTGCAGGTAGAATTTGTGTGCATGAAAAATCAAAATGAATGATGAATTCACTAAACGGCCGACTTAAGTGTTGCGTTTCGAACATTCCCAGTTGAATATGAGTACAGAAAATAAAAAACACTGTCCTGATATCAATCCTCAGATAACTTGATTCTGTTCAATCGATAAAAGGCAGTTTGCAGCACCACAGTGTGAACGTTGCTCGTGTGTGGAACATGGTTAATGTTTTCTGACTACGAGCATCAGTTTGTTCATCAAGTTACCCACATGTGATGAAAAACTATCAATTTCGAAACGTTATTTACCCATTCGTTGTGCATTCAAGAAGAGGCAGCATCCTG